ACAACAATCAGGAGGGACCAGTCCCTGGAGAAAGACATCATGTCTGGTTAAGTAGAGGATCAGAAAAAAAAAAAAAAAAAAGTGGAAGACGACCCAAGGAGATGGATTGGCACAGTGGGTTCAAGCATTGCAAAAACTGTGAGGCTAGCTCAGAATTGTGCAGTTTTTTGTTCTGTTATGCATAGGGTTAAAATAAATTGAAACCAACTTGATGGTACCTAACGACAACATGGGGCTTGGGAAACCTCCATTCAGGGATGATACGAGCAGGACCACTTAACTCAGGGTTTCTCAATCCCTAAGCTACCCTTGAAGGAGTCCTGGTATGATGCTATAGGATAAGCACTTTACCATATGGTCGGTTTGAACTACAGGTTGTCGCTTCAAACTCGCCAGCTGCTCTCAGAAGTCCTATACAAGGCCTCTATGAGTTAGCTGGAACCTAAACAGCACTTAACAACACGCCTTGAAGGAGTTGCAAGTCAGTCCCATTCCACAGATGAGAAAACTAAAGCTAAGCCAAGACTTGGACCCCATAGGAGACTGCACAGCTTGTCAGACACTGAGCTAATGAAGAGGGCGGCACTCCTCAGGGTGAGGCCATTCTCCCTGATCTAGGCACTCCGCACTCTCCCGTTACCTCAGTCTTGTGGCACTGTGGGTTAATGCACTCAGGACCGCAAAGTCAGTTTGAACTGCAAGGTAGGAGGTTCAAGTTCACCCACCACACATAGGAAACCCTGTCCAGGGTCGCTATGGGTCAGAACAGACTTGATGGCATTTAACCACCACCACCACCACCACCTCCATCTTAAATGATGCCATTAGCTCAGAGATCCCAACCAACAGCACCTGGAGACACAGCCTGGCCAAGCTAGCGCCAACACTCCTGCTGCTCAGTAAACTATACTTACCATATGGACAGTGGTGGTGGTGGTGATGTGCTGTGGAGTTGTTTCTGACTCACAGCGACCCTGCATAGGGCTTCCAAGGCTGTAAATCTTTATGGGAAACAATGATTCAAAAGCCAAATAAAACCCCTCCTGGATTTCAGCTCGTTTGAAGACTTGTAGCTTGTCCTATGGACCTCAACATCAAGAACCACAAATTGCAAATTTAATAGGTCATTTTGTATCAAAAGGTCAATTATGAAACACCTAGAATTTTTCAATTATACAAATATATTCTCTGGGTTTTGACATAGCCCAGATAATGTTAACTTTTTTTTTTCTATTGTGGGTTTTGATTTTTTTCCCCCCAGAAATTGGTTTTATTTGATGTACCCAAGTCTTAAGTTTCTCAATAAAGAAGAAAAACCTCAAAAAAAAAACAAAAAAAAAAAACTTTATGGGAGCAGAAGGCCTCATCTTTCTTCCACAGAACAGCTGGTAGTTTTGAACTGCTGACTTTTGAGGTTAGCAGCCCAACTGGTAACCACTACGATAGCAGAGCATCACCATGTGGGTAAAGGTAGCCAAACAGTCAACTGTCCAATAGTCACGCTGCCCGGCTTACTCTTGACCTGTCATCTAGCTCCTCTTGAAGCACAGCCAGGGGGATGAAGCAAGCACACCTGTGTGTACTGTGTTCACTCCCAAGGCTGGATACTCTCCAAGTCTTCCCACACCTACCGGAAGCTAGCTGTCCTTTCTGGTAGGGGCCAGTGAGGGGAGTCACACACCTCTGAAGGTTGCAGGATTTTCTTTCCAAATGTGAAGGCAGAGAACCTGTAGAGGGAGTTAGAGCCACTGGCATGCCAACACCGTGGCCAGCGTCCTGAGAGGAAAACACTTCGGCGCAAACCTTTTGAAAGAAATGCTTTATTGCTGCAATTAGACACCCCTATGTATAGCACAAACAACCGGCCTATACAAAGAATTATTCAAGTGGTAATACTGAGAAACAGTGAACAGACACAAAAGGATACAAAAGTAGACATTTAGATCATTAGGCTCTTTCTAAGTTAAGAAAAATTACAAATGTGAAGTGCCTTTAGAAACTACACAACACAAGCCAGTGTAAATTTGGTGTTTATTAACAATCAACTTTCAATACAAACATTGCCATCTAACCAGGTGGTCAGCTGCACCCCCCTTGAACAATGACATCCAGAATGAAGTTAAGTACCCTTGTTTCCCTGGGGTTCAGTCTTTCCTTGGGCTAGATGCAGAAGCCCCAAATGTTTTAAACTAAATTCAAATGTGTATTTGTATTTGCATCAATAACATTGTGGTTCCCGCCCTCCTTAAACAGGGCTTGGGATGCCTGTCAGATCACTTCCTAGTGGCCCCGCCCCTTCACCTTACCCCAAGGCAGTCGAGGCAGTTCCCAAACTTGCAAGGATGACAGGAGGCTGTTGAACTGGGCTCAGCTGCCTGGAGCCTGCCCAACTGTGACGAGGTAGGTGCACTGGCAGGTTTGGAAACCAGGCCTATATGATTAAGAAGAGTGGATTGGAAGGAAAAAGGCAAAGACGGTAAAAGACCTACAGCCGGAAATGATATTTCACAGTGTCCTCAGGAGTTTCTTGAAATAAATTTTCAGACATAAACCAAGTGACTGGTAACAGAGGAAATCAGAAGCACATTCCAGTCCCACAGTGACTTACTGGGGAGTAAAGGCCAAATGAGAGAAGCAGCTTCCCCTCTCCCCTTGTCGGGGACATATATATCGGCCCTTCTGGTCCTGAAACCTGCATGCTGACCCCAGGTTCTAGACGGTTCAGTCAAGTGCCATCTGGATTGGTAAAAAGTAGACCTCCTTCTAAGGCCAGGTGCCCAAAGAAGGGAAGCTGTGGGAGAAAGAAGACAGGAAGGCCCAGCAGGTCTGCTGCTAAGATTAGGCGGTAACACCACAAACATGACAGGGCCTGGGGAAGTCACTCTGGTGGGTGAAATGATGCTGGGACTAAAGGTGGGGATTCATGGATCAGAGAAACTCAACTACAGTCTGCAGACACAAGAGGAAAAGCAGGGGTATCCTGTGAATCCTTGTGGCCGAGGGACCAGGGCATGCGAGGCACCACCCACAGGCAGGGGCTGTGAGCAGGCTGGGGCAGTGGGCAGATGATGGTCAGGGTTTCTGAACACTGAGAGGCCTTCCCATAACAAGGTTTGGGTGCAGGTGAGATTCCAGTCACAGGAATAAAGGCACCTGTGCTGCAAGGTGGAAGCCAACCACTGCGCAGTCAGGCAGCACAGGAGATAGCCCTACCTAAGAACACCTCCTTCTACACAGGGGCCTCTGTGATCCCCAAGTTTAACAAGAAGTCTCTTGGGGGAAGGTGGCAGGTCAGAGTCACCCTGAAAACCAGAATCTGGGTCTTAACTGTAGAAGCGAGGCAAGGACAGGGTACAGGAAGGAGCAGGGCTGGGCCTGGAGAATCCCTAAGGGGTGGGGCAGGAAGGTTCTGGATCCCGCTCACCTGATAGGATCACAGGTAATTGCACTTTGGGGCTGGATGTGACCCGGGTGACAGAGAGAATGCAGGCTGCCCTATTTTCTGGGGTCAGCCTGTGGCTGCACAGTGCCTGCCTGTCAGAGAGGCCAAGGCAGAGCAGCTCAACAGACTGTGGAACCAGCCTGCTATCCCATGTCCTCGCTCGGGGCTGGAAGCCCCCTCAGTCTCGCCTCCTCCTGGCCTTTCAGAATGACTTATCAGCCTTCAAATCTGAAAAGTGACTTAGCCATCCTATTCTGTTAACATCCTATCCTGTTAGCAAGATTCAGCAGCCAGCTGTGGGGGCAGGGTGGGCACTGCCTACTGAAGCCAGTCGATGGACCTGGCCCTTGCCGTGCTGTAAAGCTGCTGCCCAATGGGCCTGTATTAGAAGACAGGGTCTTCACAAATGGAATTTTAAGCAGACTTTTTAAGAGACAAAGGCTATTTGATGGCAGTGATTTTGTAATCCCTGATGACAGAACAGACCAGTCGCTGACTGAGGTCCCTGAAGGATCCTCTCTGCTTAATCAAGCTAAGGTAGTGAAGGGGCAGGGGGCTGCTAGTCCTTCTCCCAGAGCACCCCCAGGTCAGCAAGTATGTGCTGACACTTTAGTGGAGACCTAGCACACATTGGCAAGATCTCTCTCTAAACAAGTATTGTTTAAATATCCAATTCTGTTAGAAGTATTCACTTCCTTCCTTTCCATTTAGATCTTAAAACCCTTTCTTTTTCAGTGGTGATAACAAGACACAAACAGGGCAGGCCAGTAAGATTAGGACTCTGTAAAAAAGCTTCAAACCCAGAGAATTATGCCTACACTGTCATGTGACATCCATGCATTCCCATGAAGCCCTGTAGGAAAAACGCTCAGGCTCATTTTGTGTTTAGAATCACCTGTCTGTTTTATGGACACAGAGGGGATGTCATGTATGTGAAAATTTATAAGGCAAATGGGTTCTTCAGACGATAATGCTAAAGAGATCATAAGGGAACATTTCTAAATGAGACATTCTTCTAAGTGTCAATCCCGCTGGACACCTATTGCAAAGTAAAGGCTTTCTTTTGTAAAGTGCTGTTTTCTCAAGTGACAATTCAGCCCCTGCGCCCCACCACAGACCACCTGCTCCCCTGTCTGCTTGTGAGAAAACGGCAGGAGCAGCAGTATCAAGAGAGGCAGGGAGGCCACAGTCTGTGTTGGAGGGCCATCTCTGGGCTCTCCTTAGTGAGGATGAGAACCTTCTCATCGGTGGCAGATATCCCTAAAAGCCTGGTGGGGCTGCTCCCCTCAGCCTTGGCATTTCATTCTCTTATCTGCCCAACAGCATGACCACACACTCAGCAGTCATGGGGTCTTCCACCTTCTCTGCCCACAGGACATATGGCAGAAGTGGAACCCGGGTTTTCCAGAAAGTTCATTAAGGAGGATTTAGAAAAAGAGAAGCCATTAAAAATATTCACTTGCCCAGTCTATACTATTAAAGGACATAAGAAAAGGTACAAAATTGGCAGTAAACAATTTCCTTCAGCTCTTCATGATGTCCATGAAAGGCACACCCTTCATCCAGTGAAGACTTCAACAATGGCCGCTCCAGCATCCTCAGGTTCTGTGCAACAAGAAGAGTTTGTGTCCGAATGACAGAGTCCAGGGCCTTCTTTATTTTCAAAGTTGGGCTCTGTTAGTGCAGGTTTTTCTAAAATATTCTTTATGCTCGTTTCTGGACAGTTTTGAACATAGATTACTCTGTTATAAGCCTTGAGTCTCTTCCATAATTGCACGTACACTTTGCACTGCACATACATAAAAAGCAGTCCACCAGTGAAGCCGATCGCCACAACCACTAATTTAGTCCAAAAGGGCCATTCAAGGATTCCTGGAAAAGAAAAAACCTGGTCAGCCTCTCAGCAGATCTTGTTTCAGACCTGAAGCTATACAAGGAAACCTCCTAAACGTCCCATGATGAGTAAGTGGATCTTAACTCATCACAGGAGGGGAGGGAGACAGTATCCACTTCCCTCCCACTCTTCCAGGAGGTGGTTCTTGTACATATTCTCATGGACTCGGAGCTGGTCTCTTCTGACTGGCTTTCAAAAACCACCACAGCAAGAAAAATATCCAAGAAGGACACTTAATGACTCCAGAAATTCAGACAGGTAAGGTCTGATCCACAGAGCCATCTTGAATAAAGAGCTCCAACCCCATGACCCCTGGATGTGGCCCCAGACTCTGAGCTGAGTTCACATTCACCCAGACACATACCTGTTGACTGCCCCTGCTTGATCTCCTCAGCAGTACGGTCAATGAGCACATACAAAGACCAAACCACACAGGTGATGGCTACGATATGAAAGGTGACTGAGCACATGATCTTCCTGCGCTCGCTGGCAGTCATCTGCAGCTTCTCCCACTGGAGAAAGAAAACGGAGCGCATCATGAGGGATCAGGCTCCCCAAAGATCCAGGCCAGACAGAACATGGCCAGAGAACGGCAGGTGGGTCCTGCTGCCTGCCTTCCCTCCTCCCCCTCTTCCACACTAGATGAATTTTCCCAAACACCTAAGATCATTTTCTTTAACCACTTCGCTTCAACCAGGGACAAGATACTGGTGTTCTTTTGGTAGCCAACTTCCTATGCAATGAGAAGCAGCTGGGATTGAGATGAGCCCTAATGTAACACCAGCAATCCCCCTACCTGCTAATTTTTGCAAGCAGAAATGAAAAAGGCTTGATAAAGGACCTGATAGTGTCAGTCCTGGTGAAAAAGTAAAGGGTGGGCCCCAGCCCCTGTTGCCACGTTTTCCGTCACTGTGACGCGTTGACTGGCCTGGAGGAGCGGGGGAGGGTGATGAAGTCACAGGACACTAGCAGATGGGTCACACTACATTGTGAAAGTGAATGGCAGAAGGCGCTCACTCTTTGGTCCTCTGCTACTTTGGCACCCACAGCTTGGCATCGATGCTAAGAGTTCCTGGTACAAGCAGCCTCTGCCAGTCTCATCTCCTTTAGGAGCTCATTAATTTACTTCATATAGCCAGGTTCTCTTTTTCATTTACTGGTTTCCGAATCAGAAGAAACATAAAGGTAGAGAGAAAGAACAAAGTGTAAACACTCTGCGTTTCTTTTGCCAATCCTAGTCACAGCCTTTTTCTAGCTGGTTCTCTGCAGGATAAATGACAACAGAGCCTCCTGGATTACCTTACTCTATGCTACAAACTCACCTGAGAGATTAGCACAAAGTACCTAGTACATTGTACACCGCTGACTGGACCAAGCATTTTAAGTAGCTTGTGCTTAGCTTCTCCAGCAGCCAGAGTGCTTTCTGCTGTGGTTTCATGACCCCTTCATTTGCCATCCTACTTAAAATGTGGGATTCCTGTTTCAGTCTCCCCTACTCCCTGACCTCCTGTTTCTTTAAGATGTTGAATTCAATCCTTTCACAATCCCCCAAGACACTCAGCTTTTTTGGCAAGGGCTTTGCTCCACTGACAACTTTACCTCTCTAAACTCCTTTCACTTAGACTCTAAATCCTTCTGGTCCTTGAAGTGTGGCTTTAAAACCCACACATTCCTGATGCTCTAGCACTCTGCTTCCCTGGTACTGGAGCGTACCAGGACCATTCCCTTCTCTGAATCTCTGAGCCACTGCTGAATCACCACACCACTTGGCTCTGGCGCATCCTGTACTGTTACCAGAGTCTGTGAGTCACCTGGCAATTTAGAGAGGAAGCTTTTGAGACATGAACAAGTTTTTCTACTCTCCCAAGCAGAACCCTACATTCTGGATATACAGAGAAAGTGACTGAGGAAACAATAGCTGAGTGCCAATGAGGAAGCTAAGGAGCTCTGCTAGCGTAGTGGTTACGAATCAGGCTGCAAACCTCAGGGTCAGCAGTTCGAAACTACCAGCTGTTCTGTGGGAGAAAGATGAGGTTTCTGATCCCATAAAGATTTACAGCCTCAGAAACCATGTACAGGGTCGCTATGAGTCGGGACCAACTCCACAGCACATAACAACAACAACAAATGAGGAAGCTGTTCTCAGATGTGAGAGCTGGCTGTCACATTCCGCCTGCTGTTTCTTCCTGTCCCCCATCCCACCTTCCCATCCAACAGATACTCCTCCCAAATACATACAAGGAAGTTTCCCATAAGCTTCACTAAGTGTTGGGGATCTCTAGTACATGGTCTCAAATGAAGAGGGACCACACAAAGAATAGTAAATACATATCAAGTTAAATGCTGAGTAAGATGTCACAAAACAGTTTGGGATCAAGGGTCAAATGAGTGAAAGACACACTAGCAGTTGTAGTATGAAGAGCAAACACCAAGACTGAAGGGGTGGGAGGAGCTCCTTCTTGAAGGGGACTTGGAACTCAGCAGAGCACAGAGCCACAGCCTCCACCATGCTGAATGGACCCACCAGCCCCTACTTCTCAGGGAGGGCCACTGCTGCCAGGGAGGGTGAAAGCCCTGCCATGGACGCCTTTCCACATACTTTTCTCAAAGGCTTCAGCTTGGTCTCCATGATGAACTCGTACTTGCAGAGCTCGCAGCACCGCGTGTCAGAACTCTTGATCCACTGCTGCAGGCAGGCTTGGTGGACGAAGTGCAGGCTCCCGGTGCAATGGCAGGGGGTGATCAGGGGGCTTTCATCGTCACCCTCACAGTGGCAGATCCTATGTTAGGGAAATCAGTCGTTATGAGGAGAACACCACTGTGCAGAAGACGGTGATTCGACAGAAGGTCAGATCCCCCCATAGGAAGTGTTCAGAAACACACGGAAGTGACTACAAGCACAAAACAAACACACACAATGAGAACAAATGCTACAACTAAGCATTTCTAGCTTACCGCACCACGGAAAGTCTGGATGGCATTTTGCATTGGAGAGGAAAAAATGAAGTAAGAAACAACAAAGCAGTCATTCTTGGTAAGACCTAAGAACTTTGCTGAAAGACGAATTCAAGGCAACATGGAAGCATTTTCCAAAACATGGATGTTAAAACAATCAGAGAAAAAAAAACTGAATGTTCAAACATAATTAGCACACTACCTTCCATTAACTACAGTGACTAAAAAGATGCACCTTGAGTCTCAGCTGTAATCACTGACCCCATCCTTACATGCAGGACAACAACACATCGCTGGCCTTTCCCAGGAGGACCAGGGAAATCACAGTCCCGATCCAGAAACTACCCAATTCTCATTACAGGCTGTTGCAATTTCATCCTTCTTCCAATGCAGTAAGTAGAAATTAATTTTTAAGGACACATGCAGCAGAATGTAGCAACTAGCCCCAAAGGACAGTAATAGGGTCTGGAGAACCAGAAGGGCATTTTCTGGAAGCTGAGAAACACCAGTCCTAAAAGGAGCTTAACTGGGCCTGGTCAGACTTTCAGGTGCCATGTTTCTTTGAGAGGGGTTCCTGATCCAACAGCTAGAGCTGAGTAATCAGGGTGACTAGGGACAGGTCACAATGGGAAAGGCAGCAGAATGGTGGCAAACACTGAATTCGGAAGGGTTTTGGAGACCCAAAAAGATGCTGCAAGAGGCAAGATAAAGATGGGCCGTGGAGCTAAGACCTGGGCAGAGGTAGCTGCATCCAGGCCACAAGGCAGGCAGGCAGGAGCTGCCAGAGAACGCCCACTCCACACACCTGCCCTGTTGTAGGGAGAGGTTGGGAGGGGGCAAAATGAAAACACTTGAAGTCTGAACAATCAAGCTGGAAACACTACTTTCTTTCCGTTTCTTTATACAAAATCCACTTCTTTTTAGTGGAGGAGAGTCAGTTTGACCTCTAATATGTGTACGTTCTTCCTCTTTTATCAGTGAAACTGTCTTGTGATAAAAACTGGCTTTTCAAGTAATATCAAAAACCCCATTCTCCTAGAGAAAACTACTAACCCATTAAGTGCCTGTTACTTCACTTTCCAGAAACTCTACATATTAAAGCAAGTTGAGACTAGCCAGGTGCGGGAAGCAGAGATGGCCAGAATGGTGGTTCTTGGCACACCAACCTGCAAGTGTCCCCTGACGTGGACACAGAAGATATGGGGAGGTGCTTTTCCGAGAGGGGAGAAGGGCAGTCCAGGTCGCTGTCCTTTTCAACTGAGCAAAGGGGTGCCTGCAGGCCCCTGCTCTTCAGCTCTGTGGACACACTGTCCTCAAAGACGTCATCGTCGCCCATGTCGTCAGAGCAGAAGCTCCCAGCCAGCCCACTGGAGGACCTGGCTGTGTGCAGGTGGACGGGGCAGCCCTCCAGCTCGTGGAGCCTGTGCAGGCTGCTGGCACTCACGTCCAGGGGGAAGAGGTAGCGCAGCAGTAGCCTGCTCCTGGACAGGGCCTCGCCATCTGCTTTCTCTTCTAAAAGCGGAGCATGGATGCTTCCCTTGCCCACTCCGGCCTCTGAAGCAGTTGAATGATGGGCAGAAAGAGATGAGACACAAGAATATTTGGAAGTGCCAAGTGGTTTTCGATTGAGCATTCTTTTTTCTTTATGATGGAACTTATTAATTCTGAGACAGGGTTCTTGGGGGAGTACCAACTTTCCTTCAGAACAAGTTCTTTCCACATAGTCACAACCTGCCTGAGCGTCCTGGGCCTTCGCACCCATCTCATTTAGGGACTTGGAGAACTTTAGGGTTCTTCTGGCTTCGATACTCTTAGCAGGCTTCAAGGCCTGGACCCATTCAGAACCACAGGAGTTTCTCTTTGATGCCTGTGATGTGTCTTTACAGATAACTGTCACAGTGAGCCCTGGGGTCAGAGAACTCTGGCATGAAGGAGTTTTCAAGACAACAGCAGACTCCACTGGACTGTGGTGACAACACTCAGAAAGCACTGTACTGGAACTGCATGCAGAACAGTGGGACAAAGCACAGGAAGTGAGAACAATTTTCAAGAGAACAGACATCAGTGTGAAGAAATGAGACTAGCGTAGTAACCTGGTGTGTACCTAACAGCACACGTGATAGACGCTAACAGTTGAGATCAAAGACATGTTGATCAAGCAAATGGAAAAGCCGCCTCCAGGGCTTATTTTGGGATGCACAGTCACAACAGTCTCGGAAGCCGAGGTTACCTGCAGATGTCCTGATTGGATGGTGTCGCAGAAGTACGGGGAAAGGCAGACACCGGAGCTGTTGCCGCCAGCGGGGGACTCCCAGCCTGCAATGACACAGTTTCAGTGAGCCTTTGGAAGGAACCCAGACCTCTTAAAGCTTCATGAGAAACAAGCAAACGCTGACTTTTGCTAAGTGTCATCAAGTAGGTTCCGATTCAGAGATCCTACATAGGGTTTTCGAGGAGTAGCTGGTGGGTCGGAATCACTGACTTTGCTGAGTATTATTGCTGCTGCTGCTGCTGTTGCTGTATGCCATGGAGTCAGTTCTGACCCACAGCGACCCTGTAGAGAGTTTCTGAGGCTGTAAATCTTTACAGGAGCAGAAAGCCTCATCTTTCTCTCATGGAGCCACTGATGGATTCGAACTTCTGACCTTGTAATGAGAAGAACAAAATCCTTGTCAATCATTCAGCTGACCCTCAGGACATTACTTTTAAAGAAACAAAAAATTTCCACTAAATGACACAAAGCCATGTGGGCCCACGGGGGAAAGACCTGGAGATATGCCCCCGCCGTACGTAGTTAAGACGACAGCCAAGAAAACCTAACGGGGCAGTCCCACTCTGTCATGTGAGCTTGCTATGAGTTGAAATTGACTTGACGGCACCTAACAACACCACAGGGTCAGTTTGAGCTTCAAGGTCAGCAGTTCAAACCCACCAGCTGCTCCTCGGAAACTCTATTCAGGGTTGCTATGAGTCGGAACAGACTCAACAGCACTTAACAACAATAGTGTGATTAACTAGAATTTACATTCTTTACAAATGAGATTCTAATTTAATTATTAAATAACTCTTGGAAACTTAAGATTTTTAAAAATAAAGTAGGCCTTAAAATAAGCAGAAAGGAGATGAACAGTCACCTTTTCTAAAAGAATTCCTGCAACACTGAAGTCACTGAGCATCACTCATCGTTGGTGGACACCTGGTCTGAGACATGTCAGCTTACTTGAGGCACACAGCACTATGGCTCAGGACACATGGGCCCACCCATGTGTACCAGGGTCCCTGCCACAGGACAGGACTCTAGCTCACTTCCCCTCTGACAAGGCTGAACTTCCACTGATCCCTGTGATCCTGAAACTCAGTCAAGATTAAGAAATCCTTCTACCCTTTGTGTTGAAAAGGGTTTACTACAAAAAAATCCCACTTCCCTGTAGGCCACACAGATGCTCCAAATCCCCACTCTTTGCCTCACAAATGTTTAGCTGAACTACCTGGCTCCCTTTTACACTGGTCATCATAAAATACCCTCGTGTCTACTACTTGATCAGGCCCCGGCCATCCTTTCACCTCATTTCCCCACACTGTTATTTTCAGCCTTGTCTATTCCTCTATAAGGAGCTCTGGTAGCATAGTGGTTACGAGTTGAGCTGCTAATCTCACGATCAGCAGTTCTAAACTACCAGCTGGTCCTCAGGAGAAAGACGAGGCTTTCTACTCCCATAAAGATTACAGCCTGAGAAACCCTGTGCAGGGTCGCTATGAGCCAGAAGCAACTCGATGGCACTGAACACCAACTCCTCTACAAAAGAAACCCCCTTTTTGTGTAACCCTTGAGACAGGAGGAGACCACGGTCAGAGCAGTCTCTCTATTGAGTGAGTAGCTGCCGTTCTTTCATCGCACTAGTCCCCTCTTCTTTGCAACAATCCTTTTGAAAAGTATCTACTTTTTAAGCCCAGATTTTTTTTTTTTTAATTTGACAACTCACTATTCTCTTTAGTATCTTTACCATTAGCAAATCATTTGCTGACAAATCATTAACACAACAGGATGTATATCAAAAGCACAATCGTGGATGCAATATTTATGGTTATCACCTGAAAACAGAAGCCCTCCCTTTCATTCTTTGTTCAGCACCCATAAGCAAGGCCTAAGATGTACCCTGGAAGCCATAAGCTGTTAACGGTGTACTATAGAGAACGAAGAGCTGCCACCACCCTCTCCAAGAAGACCTTGGTGGGAAGGAGAATAGAAAAGTCTAGTGTATTCATGGGACCACCTCTTCTTCCTCTATGTCACTGGGTCAAGAGCTCTTACAACGAGGTGCAGAAGGAAGTCCCCTCCCCACACAAGGGCTGGAAATGTTGACTGCTGACCCAGAAGACATAGGGACTTGTCAAGTTACCACCTCCTTATCAGCTAGAGTAAGAGAGTCTTGGGAAAGCATATGTACGTTTCTGTATTCTACAGGGAAAGGCAATCACATATGGGGAAAAGATGGGGTCTTGTCTGGAGAATGAGACGGTGAGAGGAGGAAGGGCTCAGATGGGATGCTAACATCAAAATAAAGAAGGTGTTTATGCTCAAGATGAAACCGAATTCTATTTCAGCAAGAGATGTGCTTATGTGTACAAAGCAAAGAACAACATAGTGACTCCCGGTGGCAAACCTAACAAAACCAAAGTCATCTGGGGAAAGGTAACTCGTGCCCAGGGAAACAGTGGCATGATTTGGGCTAAATTCCGAAACAATCTTCCTGCTAAGACCATTGGACACAGAATCCATGTGATGCTGTATCCCTCAAGGATTTAAACTTACTGAAAAGTAAATGAATAAAACTGTGGATTTGTTAAAAAGTAAATAAATAAAATAAAGTAGCCTCTCATTCCTGTTCTGAGCCCTAAGTAATCCATGCCAAAAAGGGGTGCTCTAGGGAGGTGGAAGGTAACAATCATACAACTACATGCCTGTGATGGATGCAAGGCCTGGAGATGAGAGGAAAGAGGTCCAGAGCACAGCAAAGCAGGGATCCAGGAAACCACCTTCCCAGCCAGACTGTTTGGATACACACCAGGAGCTGGATGTATTTCCTACCCAACTCCCTGCCCACCTAGACCAAGAAGACTCACCACCCAGCCTATGTCCAGACCTCACCAGTGTCGAGGCGCGTTTGACAGTGGCAGCAGTCTACAGAGAACGGGTACTGAGATGCCCCAGCTTCATTTTTATTAAGGAAACAGGAACAGCTAAACATTGTCTATTTTCTTACCCTTGTGCACGCTTCAATCTCATGAAAAACAGGCCTTCCAATGACAGAGGAAAAGGTCCTGCTTCTTACTAGAAGATTACACTTTTTAAATCCACTTATTATAATTTTACATAAAATAATGAGGGAAAGCTCGAGTTTTAAAGCATTTGAAAGCAAAACACAACAAATGGCTTATCTTAGCTGTTAGGTGTCAAATCAGAGCAGCACCCCGGGACTACCCCAGCTCCCAGAGGCTCCCTGTCACACTGCAGGAGAGCACACTTCCCATGGCACTCTGGAGAGATCTAGAGTGATAACTCAGCCAAGCAAGTAGCCATTGTAAGGTGCTCAGTCTGTTGTTGAGTGAAATCTGCCAACCCACTGAGGAGGCTACAAGAGACAGGTTTGGATCAACAGTTCACAGTAACATCACAATGAAGCCAATAGCTTCCAACTTCAGTCTCGGGTCCAACCCAAGGCAGCCCAGGTAGGTCACAGAACTAAAGCACTTGGCAGCACATACTTCACTGGACAGTCACACCCCTAATGGACCCAAATGAGACCAAAAACACTGAAAAGGAACACTATTTGAATCCCTCCCCCCAGCCCCCAAGGATGTGAAAACTACCATTTTGATGTGGTGTAAATCGAAGAGTGCAGAAATTCTTAGGGAAAGAGTTAGAGAGATGGAAACAGCATCTTCAGAAGGATATAGACCTAGATAGAAAACACGTCCAGAAATAGTAGCTTCATAGTTTAAACAGTTTTGTTTAATAAAGGTTTCTGTGATTTTGTAGCAATACTCTTTGACCCATCCTTGCATATGTGTTGTTGTTGTTAAGTGCTAATGAGTCGGTTCCAACTCAGAGCAATCCAGTATTGAATTTCTAAGGCTGTAAATCTTTTCAGGAACAGAAAGCCTATGGAGAAACTGGTGGGTTTGAACTACTGACCTTGTGGTTTGCAGTCCACTGTTTATCCTACAGAGCCACCATGCTCTCCCCTTGTATGTATGTTGTCATTGTTAAGTGCCGTCAAGTTGATTCCGACTCACAGCAATCCTGTACAGGGTTTCCTAGGAACAGCTGGTGGGTTTGAACAGCTGTGTTTGCGAACACTCAGGGTGATTTGCCCACAGGTCTATTTGAACCTACACGTGACTGTCATCCTGGATGGTCCCCATTACTTTTAAAGCAGGAGAGGCAACTGATACAGGTGGACCTCAAATCTCTTGTGTCTGGGGCTCTGACGAGACATTTCAGCTTCTTGTAAAAGTTCACTTGCTCGTAACTCCAAAGGAGCAAGGGGCGAGATTTTAGCTTATGTAAGGAATTGTCTGTCAAGAGTGTTTGTGTGGTTTGATCCATAAAGAACGTTTTGGTCAACATGTTCCAGGAGGTTAGAAAACAGAATCGATAATGTTAAGAAGGATGTCAGTTTAACAGAGTGCAAAATTGGTGTTTCACTAAAACAAGTCTTTCAGGAGAAAACTTTTTCTTTTCAGTTTGATACAAAATCTTTCTCATTATAAATCATGGTCAAAAAAATTGGAAAGTCATTGCACTAGTGTAATTTTAGAGAGACAATATAAGAAGAAGGAACATAAGGATAACTCAAGAGACTATGTTACACCGACAGCAGAGACTTCAGAGTGAATGTCTCCTCCTTCTACAGGCACAGCCTTGAGCTACCACATAACAAATGGCCACAAACACAGGGGTCCAATAACACACACATGTGTATGTCTCACAGTGTCCGTCGATCAGTCAGGCACTATGTAACTAGAGTCTTTGCTCAGAATTCCACAGGCCAAAATCCAAGGCTAACATTCCCTTCTGGAGGCTCATGGGAAGAATATGCTTCCAAGTTCATTCAGGTTGTTGCCAAACTCAGTTAGTTGAGCTAGCTATAGGACTGAGGTCCCTGCTTCCTTGCTGGCTATCAGATGAGATGGCTCTCAGCTTCTAGAAGTTGCCTACTTTCCTTCTATCTTCAAGCCATCTCTGTCATGTCAAATCGTCCTGTCAAATCACCCTCATAGACTGACTTGCCCAGATTTCCTCTTCCACCCTC